GGCAACATGGCACCAAAATTAAACAAAATACTCAGAGCCGGAGTGCACACGTTAACACCCGCTCACTTATAAGTAGGCGGAAAAACAATCATGAGTATAAAACGTCTAAGAACAAACTGCTGTAACATTGTCGAATTTATTTAGAGCAATGGCGCAATACCAAAAATCACAAGCGACCAAAAGTGCAAGTTTTTTGTGTTGCCAGACTCCTATTCATTACTACTTCTGTGTCAACTTAAGTGGTAGATTACTCACATTATTGGAACAAGCCGTGGACTGTGGTGCAATCAACGTCAAAGGCCTAAGTTTAGAAAAAGGAAATTTATGATGCATTTGCTTTGAAGATAACAATATGACACGGTGTTAAATTATTTACCTAGTAGTTCCAAAAGTGGAACAACGAATTCAAAGCGCTTGAAAGCAAAGCTAATTCTATACAGTAGCGTTGACCAATACATCTGTTTTAGGCTTAGACTCACCAGGCTGGCTTACGAAGCACCTGTAAACAACCAAGTATATATCTTGACTAAAAGAGCATCCCAATTTCTGTGAACGTCGAGTCAGTCTTTCACAAATTAAATTTTATCTCTCATTTTAAGATAGTGGAGGTCTTGTGTGACTACAACTATGATATGAGGCTTCATTTAAAGCGTTGTATATAGCAACTAGGAAACTAAACAGCGGTTTTGGACTGAAAAGAAGGATGAAATTAGAACTATGAGACATCAGTTACAACAGACAAAGTTTATAGGGGGAGATTTTCATGGTAAATTGGTGGCACACCCTTGATGGTGTCATACTCAGTTTTGAAGCACTATGAACAAGAAACTAAAACGTGATTAGGATAGTGTTTAAACAACTAAACGAAACCAGTTCAAATTATGATGTCACAATGCGTCCTGTATTACTTTATAAGTTTCAGTCGTATTCAAGCGAAATGTTAGGAATTTTGTCACTTTAGCTAAAACTAGAAACAATCACTGGTCTTTTATACAAACTGCAGATACACGCTTAAAACACCAATTTGCTGTATTTTATACGTAGGAAATGGTTTTATTATATATTTAACGCTGCCAAGATTATTGACTACTTGATGATAATAACTGCTAGATACGGTGGACGCGTAGACGACCAAAATGGCTTTAAACACCTAGATTCATAGTGCTCTGGCTACCAAGTTTGCAAATGTTGTGTGAGTATCGCTTGCCAAAAAAAAATTAGGTAGATCAACATTTTTCAGCTGAGAATAACACCAATTGCAAATCTCCTGAGGGAAGCAAAACAATTTTATTGTTTTTTTGCGGATAAAAATGACCTATAATCTTGTGTGAGGCACAACAATTATACTTCAAATAAATGTTAGTCCTGTAAACTGTATTGAAATTTGAAGCAAATCCAAAACTTACTAGTATATTTCCTTAATAAAACAGGTTCTTGCGTTTTTTGTCAAGCTTCCTGGGCGTTTGCCTCTAAAAACACAGAAGTTTAAATGAGTTGAAACTCGTTCGTTCCTTGGTACTTAGTTTGTTTTAAGTAAAGCGTTCATACTTTATAGCTAGGGGTTTGGGAGGAAAAGGTAAAGTTTTGCTAAAAAATGTAAGGTTTTGCGTTGTTCAGCAAAAGCAGGACAAAACCGTCGAATATTTTTACTCCGTTCATACCAAACTTAGATGCAAAGCAACATAAAATGATAGAAAATACTACATTTTTATTGATTATACAAAGTTTTATGTGTAGGCGTGTGTTTATGAGTAAAAATAACCCAGAGTGACGGCTTACTCCAAACAATATTGCCTACCGATAAATCTTCACACCAAACTGCTCTATTTTAAGTTTGGGACCACTTAGTTGGTAGTCTTTTTACAAGGATGAATTTTTGGTGGAAATATATTTTGTTAAATATTAAAATTCGTCTCATTTAACTGCTCATGGGGAAATCACATGAACCTGTGTAAAATTTAAACTATCGCTTCTTAAGAAACACACTGTCTACAAACTCTTCACCAGTTTTAAGTATCATTAGAAAGTTGGACTGAACGTTTTACTGAAGGTGGATATTGAAAAACTGGGAGACAAAACATCTGACCGTTTTTGACAACCCTATTGAATCGATAACTCAAAATTTAAACTATCGCTTCTTAAGAAACACACTGTCTACAAACTCTTCACCAGTTTTAAGTATCATTAGAAAGTTGGACTGAACGTTTTACTGAAGGTGGATATTGAAAAACTGGGAGACAAAACATCTGACCGTTTTTGACAACCCTATTGGATCGATAACTCATTTATTTGTTATTCTAGTGGAACATTCCACAAGGGTACTGATCCTGCTAGATCAAGTTGGGTGATGCTTTTTGAGAAAATGCTTTATTTTAGTCTAATAATTAGTTCTGGGAACGAGTTTTGTGTTGTGCGGGTTTTGACAAGTGTTTACTACATTGTTTCATACTTTTTCCAAAAGATTAGCGCAGCAAGCTATGCCTTAGAGATTTTTGAATCTCATGCAAAGTTTATAACAACATGTTTGTGGGTAAGCGGGAGCGTAATATAATTTCATCGAAAGCTTATCCACAAGTAATGATATGCAACAAGAACATATGCTTTATCCACTTTGCCCAATTTTATTAGTGACTAGGCTATGGGAAAATCACTAGAAGGTATCTAAAACACCGGTCTTTAAATTTCTTTGAGCGAATATCTTGTCGACCTGGAACATGCAGACGACAATTTAACAATTTTCTAAAAGAATTAAAAAGCAGAGGCATTGCTGAAGAAGCTGAACAAAGTTATACAGTCCATGGTATGCAGTTTGCGACTACAAAGCACGAAGATTTGCTGCGGAACATACATTCTTTGAGTGTGCCTAGAAGAATTGAGGGAGTCTGACAGAAAGTTGTAAAACTCTCTATATATCTTGAAAGCTGCGGTAGCTCTGGCGGTGGTTTGACAATCAAACTCAGCGCAACAAAGTTAAAGGCCAGAATTGTTTTTGCCAATTTACGCTACTCGCATCACCAAACTTGACCTCACTGGGTGGCATTAGATGCGTGCGGACTGTGCTGTTTTATGGATGCGGAGCGTTGCTATTTCGAGCGGTGGATCTCAGACATCTTCAGACGTCTGATCACCGATATTCCTGAAATAAACATGAAGTCTGCTGAGTCCGGAAAATGCGCATTCAGGGAATCACTTCAAACCGAGGTGACTGGGTTATGTGTTATGTATGCCAAGATATTGCCTACCGAGAAAAGAGCGTTTACTTGCCTTATCAGAAGAGGCGAAATCTGGTAGATGAACGGAATAACACAGAAAAGATGGAATTGAGTGAGGATATGGAAAGTTTGGGTGCTGCTGGTGTCATTTATCTTCCATGATGGAGTTGACGTGATCTTCCCTGTTGAAGACAGTCTTCCCAAGTGGAAG